TGGCCTGTGCACAATGTTTCTTGCAACGTGTAGCTTCTTCAAGAAATGTCTCTTTTTCATATTACATGGCTGAATACCTTCTAGACAGACCTGTTGTATGTATATAATACATAAAGTTATAAACCAGATAATAAAACTTTATATTTTATGACAGCACTTTTATAAATATATAATTTATCTATAGTAAAAGTGAAAATATATTAACAAAAAAAGATTAAATAAAATAATGTATATAAAATACCTAGAATACTGCCTGTACATAGAAACACTAGATGTTCATGATAATGACAATGACACAGATGACAATGATGCTGGGACCTGCCGCCACTGTACTTACTAGTTTTTTGCTGCTGGTGCAGACTGCACTCCAGACATCTCTGCCTTATCACTGTGCCATTCCAAACACACAGTCATCATTAACCATGGATTCTTCCCATGGTGGCCAAGCCTCACAGCTCTTTCTCTTTCTGGGTCAGTTTCAACAGGGATTTACAGGCTATCAAACCTACTGAGAAACCTAGCACTACCTTAAATGTGACAATGTCTAGTATCACTTGGGAAAGTCAGCTTACACCACGTTCACAGTTCTTGTCTAGATTTATAAAAGAATACAAATTTATTTAGAGGGTTATAGCCGAAAGAAACACAAGAGATCACCTAATGAAGGTTCAGAATGCAGTTTAGGGAACAGCTGAGTCTGTACTCCAGCTCTGCTTTGCCTCAATGTGTGACCTGAGCAAGTTACCTAACTTTTCATAGCCCCTCTCCTAACCTGGAGTAGTAATATTACTTGACTCCTTTTCAGCAGTGACTGGCAAAGCATGTGCTAATAAATAATAACTATTATTATTAGCACAGCCCTACCATTTACAGAGGAGGAAACTAGGCTGGAGAGGCCCAGGATCACATGGTTGGTCCACGATTGAACTAGGACTAGTTGTCAATGTTTTCTCCTACTCCTCACTTTCCCAACTTTATTTTGCAATTCTGCAAGTTCCTAGAGGGGCTTGCATTGTGTTCATTTTGTCTTCTTGGAAAATATGGGCAAAATATATATATATCAGGTTCAGTATATTTGTTTATTTTGTGATTCATTAATTTAATTCTGGAAATGCAGTGGTGTAGACCAGCAAATGGATAGAAAAAGGGAGATAGAACAAATGCAACTAAGTGTAATTCCTGTGTGTCCAATGGGCGCTCCACCAATGGTTAGCCTGTGTCTTCAGGAATTCACAAATATTAATGAACTGGGTTTACAAAATATTAAAAATCACCCTAAGTGGACGTTCCTCAATGGTTATATCAGGGCTTTCCATTACAAACAGCAGAACCAACTTACTCTCTTTAGTTTTAACAGAAAAGGGCCATTGTCAGAGGCTAGTGGTGCTTGGAGCAGTACCCAAAGCCACCATGAGACCATCCACAGTGCCTCTGGGAACAATGGGCAGAGACACTAACACCAACCTTCACCTCTGAAGCCACAAAGAACTCCATGACTCTCAGCCAGACTCTGCACAATATCTTCTTCTGGATGACGCTTTTTTTTTTTTTTTTTTTTTGAGTCAAAGATTTCCACGAGTGCTGCTAATGACAGAATCTAAGACACATGGTGGGTACCTGAGATGCATAAGAGACAGGGAAGGTGACATTTCTAGCTTCCAGCTTGCAAGTCTGGGGTTCACAATGTGAGAAATTACCAACATTTAGAAAGAGTGTTCAAAGATTTCAGGAGGACACAGATATACCAAATGCCCACTATGGGACTCGTCTAAGTTTTCTTTGAAATAATGTTCCTTTCATAGGCCCCCAGACATATTAACTGTAAAGCATATGAAGAGTCAGATGATTCACCTTTTAAAAAATATAACATAAAATGAATATTTCTGGAGAGTTAAACAGTTTAAAATTTTCCTTTTTCCTTTTTCCCTACAACCCTCCCTTTTTATCATCTTCCCCATTCTGCCTCTTTTTTTCCCTTGTGTTTTTCTCTGACTCTATGGTTTCTCTAAATATATTTATCAGTCACCTGTATAAATGACAATTTTCATTAAATTTGAAAAAGGTACTGATGAATTCACCAATGCTTCATAATATTCATTCATTAAAAATATTTGTTAAGCACCTATCATGTGCCAGGCACTGTTCTAGGCATTAAGGATACAGCAGTGAATAAAACAGACAAAACCTCTTTCTCCTTAGTAGGTACAATTAGAATTTTAAATTACTTCAAGATCTTACAAAAAAATCAATAAAGTAGGATCTAATTCAATAAGAGAAAAGCAAAATTACAATCTCTAATTCAATTTTCAACAATAAAGCTCTAAAATAAGGACTTTCTAGACATATTTTAAAATGAAATAAAGCAACTAGCAGTTATTTTCCAAATGAGTCATTAATGTTATACATATAAATATAAAAACAATTACGATATGGAAATATATTTGCAAAGATATAAAGAGCAAAAACAAGGACACAGCCCTGAGTCCAGGATTTGTACGTGGTTTCCTCTTCTGTCCACTGTTTATATGTTGTTAGTCCTATGCTTGACCCTCTCTCTGTTTTTCTCATTTTTCATACTGTTAATGTTTTAAATATTTAGGTCTATATTTCCAGCTATGATCTCTCTCCTGAGACCCACAACCATGCACTGAACAGCTTACCAGACAATCCCTTTGGAAGTCTAACAGGTACTCAAACTACAATAAGCCCCGAAATGAACTCAGTGCAAAAACTAAACCACGGGCATAGCTACTAAAGTAAAAGGGGTGGGATGCTCAGCTAAAGTGCTTCCATTACTCTTTTAACATTTGGATACTGTACTGGACTGGATAGTGCCGCACACCCCTTCCAAGTCTACTTCCTTCCTAGTACCTGAGAAATTGACCTTACTTAGTATTAGTAATAGGGTCTTGCAGATATAGTTAGTTAAGATAAGGTTATAATGTATCTTAACTAGCCTATATAAGATAAGATTGGCCTTTAATTCAACACAACTAATGTCTTTATAAAAAGAAAAAAAGAGATGCAAAGACTGATACACAGAGGAGATGGCCATTGGCAACAGAGGTAGAGTGGGATGCCTCTACAATCCAATCCAGCAACTACGGAAGCTAAGATAAGGCAAAGAAGGGTCCTTTACTAGAGCCTTCAGAGACAGCATGGTCCTGCTGACACCTTCACTTCAGACTTCTAGCTTTCAGAACTGTGAGAATATATACATTTCTGTTGTTTTACACCACTTAGTTTGTGGTACTTTTTTTTTTTTTCAATAACAGCAAAAGGAAATGGATACCATTAGTGAGGGCAAGATCCAGGAAACTGGGGATTGAAGCATTGGAGTGGTCCCTGAGCTGTGTGTTTATGATTAGGAAGAGGAGGCAATATGATGCTCCCAATCAGGAAACATCATTGTCATTTTCCTGGAGCTTCCATAGGCTGGTCCATGTTGGGTTTTTTGTTGTTTATTTTTTTAATGAACTTGTAGATCTCTTAAATGATGATATAAAAAGATGGTTGCAAGGAAAAGAAAACTTCCTTTTGTTCTTTGAGCACAAGCCACGGCTTTCCTTCTTGAGTATAATGCTGTTACAATTGGTAAAATCAAGAATGGGCTTCAAACCATCATCACTAGTGGGTGTTATGCAAATTAAGTACCTATATTATAAATATAGTAATTCCCAAACTAATTTTCTTCAACGTATCATGTAGTGACTTAGACTTCAATTAAAAGCTTAACATTGCATTTAGAACATATTGCTAAGAATGTTGCTGAATACAATTCTCGGTACATAACAGGATTGACCTCACCATCTTACCCTTGATCCTGTTTTACATCCAATATTTCTGGCAGTTGATGACATTGCTCAAACCAGAAACTTTCAAGGCACTGTCAACTCTCCCCTTCCTCTCCTCTCTCTAGAATCCATTTAAGAAATGTCACCAATTTAAGTTCTAAATTATTTCTTTCACTTGGACTCTTCGTCACTACTGAGCTTCTCTAAGGCAAACAGTACTCCTTCCGGTGAACTTCTTCTCAGCCTCTTTGGTCAACTCGTCCGCCTCCTTTTTCTAAACAGTAAAGGCTAAGGCCTTCAGGCCTGTTTTTCTTCCCCCAACTCCCCACACTCTCAGCTTCTCTCCCATCCACTGCCATGGTTACAGTTAAACTAATGATTCCCATGCTTACATCTCCAGCTTGCACCTCTCCAAGAGGTTCTGAAGACTGGTATGCCTAGGAGCCTCCTCAGCATCTCTTCTTGGATGTTCCACAGACACCTCAAACCTAAATACTCCAGACTGCATTTGTCATTTTCCCTTAAGTCCTTTACTTTCCCCAATTTTTTTTAACCGGGTTGCTTCAACAAGAAAACTGGGAATTCATCTTTCCCTCCCTCACCAAGTCCTTTTAATTCTACCTTTTGATTACCAGTTATTCACTTGGATGCTAAAATTATTCCAGCTTTAACCACAGGGAGATCCTTTAAGCTGCCATTTGTATTCTTTTAACAAGTCCCCTTCATGTTTAAGTACTTCTCTATCTTCTAGCACAAAAGGCTGATCCTTACTTTATCTTCGCCAGCCCTGGAATTAGCCCTTTTTCCCCTCAAGGAGCTGGGGCAAAATCATGGTTCCTTTTATTGGAGACTGAGATTCATAAACCAAGACTTGGATGCTAGCTATACTACTGGCTGGTCACTGCTTGAATTACAAGAATTTGCCATTTTCTTCCTTCATGACATACCAGCTAAAATTTTATTCCATTGGAAGTCTGGTTCTAAAAGAAAGTGAATTTTTATCTTCCTGAACATCTCCATTTTGAGCCTACGTGCTTTAGACAGACAGAAACTCATCACACTGAAACAATTCCAGGCTTCCGCGTGAGGACCTTCACGGGGGATCCCTTGGTCACAGACTGCAATACAGACCTGTGTCCTCCAGAGTCCGCTGTGCTGCGCGCAGGCCAACCTCAGAGCTTTTTAACCTGGGATGCCTGCGACACTTCACAAGGACACCAAAGAGGGGTCACGTCAGCGTTCCGACTTCCTCCCGACGCCGCCTCGGATTGGCTCCTGGGCATTTAAGAAACCAGGGAATGAGTAGCTGGCCCTGCAGAAACTTGCTGGAGATCTTCGGGTAGCATCGCCGTTTCGTCCTCGTCAACCCGCAGACTAGCCGACCGTGGGGAGGATGAGGTCGTCCTGTGTCGTGCTCACCGCCCTGGTGGCGCTGGCCGCCTATTACATCTACATCCCCCTGCCCAGCTCCGTGTCCGATCCCTGGAAGCTGATGCTGCTGGACGCGACTTTCCGGAGTGCAGAACATGTGGTGAGACGCAGCCCAGCGCTGATTCTCTCTCACCCCTCTTAGCAGTATTTGAAGGGGGAAGCAAAATTTCCGGACCATGCCCCACGAGAATGCTATTTTTCTAACGCAGTGAGGCAATTGCTCTTTAAGGTGGTTCAGTGTGGCATTTTCGGGGTGTCGCACTCACCGCCTTGTGAGCAGCGGTCTAGGTCTGTGTCTCCTCCTCTGCGTTGGCGACGGGGAAGGTGAAGTATTTGAATAGAATTTGACAACTGTTTAACCCTTCGTCTAACCTAAATATATCCCTCCCCACCCCCACCCCCCGTTTTGGTTTGCAAAACAATCTTTCAGCATTTTATAAGCCACCTCTCCCCCATTTTCGTTCTCCGATAGGGGCCGGCAGAGAGGGAGTTAAATGTTTTTAGGACAGCTCTGGTAATAACAGGCTCTTATTTCGGGCAACGAAGCCACCTTAAAAGCAGAAGCGGGCACAGGCTGTGTCCCAATGTACCCTGGTTGTGAAGCTCTCCATTCCCGGGGTCCCAGCGGTCAGGGCTTCTCCAAGCCCTTGAGGAACCGGTCAGATCTCCGATTCATGCCTGGCTTTTTTCCAGTGTAGCCCAACACACAAGGCCAGGAAGCCTGGCTGGCTGGAAGACAGACGTGGTTGCAGCAGCCGTGTTTGCAGGATGCATTTGTTTTCTGCCTACCCTGCAGCATTTATTTGATGTCCTTGCCTGTCGAGGACATAACCTCTGCCTGATCCAGGACACCCTGGCTTACCCTGGCTTACCCTGGCGGGGGTCACATTTCTCTCTACTGAATCATGAATGTGTATTTCTTTTCCCCGATACACAGGAAAATATTATTGCCTCTGCTTTGTTCTATGGTGAGAGGCCTTATTTTTAGTGCCAGAGACTCTAAAACCTAAACTACAGTCTTCAGCCAAGGTCAAGCCCTATGATTAAACAGTATTTCTGAATAGCTTACTCTATCTAAACTCCTGAACTTCCTCCAAAATCAAGTTCTCCCCTTCCCCCAACCTTAGGCTTTAATCTCAGGTTATTTTTGTAAACTTCTTTTTTTTTTCAAGAATAACTAGAGAAACAGAGGGGAAAAAAATCATGACTTTTTTGATATTCTATTTCGCTGTCCAGCCTGTCTGTGTGTGAGATTCCATAGTCTCTGAAGCTTTGATTGAAAATCCCCTTCAGTAGGGTATTGGGGCACATTCCTCCTAAGGACCTGCTTCTCTTGAATCAGGCACTGTCTCCACTGCCCAAGTGCCCTGTCATCTCCTAGGAACTGTCTGTGAAGCTCTGAGGCCTCCTGCTCACTGTCATGTTCACACAGTGAAAAAATGACCACCCCACTCTTTAGCACTGATTTCATGAAAGGTAATCTTCATGTAGGAAGCCTTGCAATCCCTCTTTTCCTTCAGAAATTATGTAATTTGGGAGTAACATCCTTCGAGGATCCTGGGATACAATGATATTTACCTGGAAAAGAAAAATCACATCAAAGAAAATGGCCTTTAGCAAATAGGCCATTTACAAAACAGGGAAATAAAAGAATAAAACTTCTATGTTGGCAGCAGAGATTATTTTTAGTTTTCGAGTTACCAGGGAAGTCTTCCACAGCATAACTAATCTGGGAAAAGCCAGGTTGGAAGAAAAGTCTTTCTTCCCCATCTAGGCTGCCAACCCTGTAAAGGCAAGGCCTTCGGACTCTACAGTCCTTTATAGAATGTGCCCTGAGCTGGTGTCTGGGAATGATAATGTGTGTAATGCCAGGTCACAGAGATAGATGAGGCGGCAAAGTGTCCTCACCTAGCACTAGTGGCTTTGCACAGAAGTGGCTTTCATGACTTGTCATTGGAATTGTGAAATGTCAGACAAATCATTCGAATCACATGGAAGCTTATTCTGCCCAGTAAAGCAATTTGCCAGTGTTTCTTCAAATTATCCTGGCTTGACAAAAGTATGGCTTGACACAGTGTAAGTAAATGAGAGCATGACTCTTAAGAGTCATGCATTCCTGAATCATGTGCCAGACAGGCCACTTGCTGACAGTGAGGGCAGGCAATTTACTAACTTACTCCAATCCTCAGTTTTCTCTGTAAAATAGGGTAACTTTGTAAGGTTGTTGTGAGGTTTAGTAATGCATTTAAATGCCTGGAACTTGCTGCAGTTATTCTTTTAAGAATTGTCCCATAGGTCTGCTATGGATTGTGGAGATTCCCAAATCTGTAGGATTGCCCTGTTTTGCTAGAACAATAAAACAAATGTAAACTGGAAGCAATTGAAACCTGGACAGCTACCACTAAATCTCATAGCTTAAAGTTTGTTACCCAAATAATTTTAGACTTGATTGGTTCAATTACAAAGGCAGCTGAAGCTTCTTCAGAAGTGAAGGTGGGCCTACTTCCTAACACAGCAGACTGGTGCGTAGCATCAAGAAATATAAATGCTAATTTTATTCTATTGTCATTAGCAAATGCTTTGCCCCTCGAACTGTTCTTATCTCTTTTATCTTGTGCAGAAGAGTTATGCTTATTGCACTTTTCTCCCTTGGAGTCCTCCAATGTTACCTAAGGAGAAGCTACTTGTTATCTTTCTCTAAGTCATCTCAAACACAGATGCTACATTAGAATCATCTAGGGAGCTTTAAAAAAAATCCCAATGCCCAACTCACACCCTATATAACTTTATCTAGAATTTGTGGGAGGTGAGTCCCAGGCATCAGTGGTTTTAAAAGCTCCTCAGGTGATATCAATGTACAACAAAATTTGAGAACCACTGTGCTTTAAGATACCATATTTTGCCACGTATAGTGCACACCCATGTTTTTGGCCCAAACTTTCAGGGGAAAAAACCTTCCATTTTAATTTTTTATTTCAATTTTTAATTTATTTATATTTAGATACTTTTTTGTATAATAAAGGAATTTTAGCATTATTTTTTAACGTATTATGGTACAAGAAATTTTATATAACAGTTACAAAACACAAAAACAAATACAAGGTATTTCAGGTACTACCCCTGTATAGTGTGCATCCTTATTTTTCCCTCAAAAATTTGGGCACAAAAGTGCGCATTATACATGGCAAAAATGATAAAATACATTGCAGATATAGGTTATATATTTTCCTTAAACTGCTCAAGTTATGTTGCACAAATGTTGCTGGGAATGAGCCTCTTCATATTAGCGTGGATTAGTTTATCAGATTAGTTTGTTGATATTTAGGCTCTAAGAGTCTAAGGGGATAAAATACTAGCTAAGCAAATTTCAGTGTTATATCACAGCCTTCATAAGACTTGAGCAGTGGAAAACACAAACCAAAGATGATCTGAGAAGGCAGTGCGGAGAAAGGTTTAGATAAAGCTTGGGCAGAGGAAACCAGAGGGACAAAAGAATGGAGTTTGGGCAGGTTCTGACACTGATTTTAAACTGCTATGCAAGCCAGGAGCTTAAAAATGCTAATCCCAGTACAGGTGAAGATACTGAGAAGTGTACATGGCTGCGTTTGCCAATATCCATTGAAAGCCACAGAAGCATATTTTTTTCTTTGACCTAGCAATCTTTTTGGAGGGATTTATTTTCATTATGGATACAGGCAAAACTGTAGCTATAAAGAAGGAAAGAGTTTACAGGCTCAAAAACCATGTTCAAATAATCCAAGAGAACTGCTATTTATGAGAAATATGGGGGCCCATGCAACAACCTTTTTTTATCTTTCATTCCTTTTTTTTAGCGTTATTTAAAAGAATGAAAACTTAAGAGCAATAAGAGATAAAGTAAATTGTGGTAAACTTACATTTTGGGATATTGTGCAGTCAAAAAAAATAGCTTTGAAATAATGTTTAGTGGCCTACAAAGGGTTTGTACTGTACAGTAAGTGAGAAACTGCTACAAAACAACATATATACCCACTTAAAGTATCTTTTAAAACATATAGTTATGTATGTTATATATAGATATAAAAAAGGAGAAGTATGTGTTTTAAAATACAGGGATTTGGGGGTACATAAAATTATATCTTCAATTTTCAAATTTGTATAGTCTAGTGTTTCTACAATGAACATGTAATAACAAGAAATAATTTTAAAACTTTTCTTGTAATAAGTTTTTGTTGTAAGTTACCTACTTCTAAAGTGGAATTGATGTGCCCATGCATCCCAATGTGATTAATCTTTTAGTAACTTTTCTATGAAGAAATCAGGTTTCTATTTAAGGCATCCTGGATCCCCTGATACAGTGATCACAGTGACATGCTTTGTGCTCAGTCACTTAGTTGTAACACAGGTTGAAAGTCTATTGTATGAGATTTTAGGGAGAGGCTAAAATGACCTAAAAGAAACTCTGGTTTAGTAGACTGGAAAAGCCATGTTAATATTCAAGTATTTAAAAGGTACTAGAAGATATGTTTATGTGCATTTTGGGAACTAAAGATCTGGGAGGGGGCTAGGTAAGCAGTACAGTGACTTTGGAGCTGATTTTAAATAGGTAGATATCTTAATTCAATTACTGTACTGGTGAGTTCACAGGCTATATTGCAGAAAATGGACAATCTGGGAAAAGTGGAAAGCTCTTTTAGTAGTGGACTCCATTTTTCTTAGTGCCACATGACATACATCATTTACATATAAATTATAGAGTGATCATTTAATTTTTTAGTAAGTTACAATTGGGAAAATTTAAGTGAACAAACGAAATGTGTGAGCATGTGTGTGTGATTACAAGTATGTGGTAGGGTGTCCCAAATCATTAATAAAAGACTATTTGAATTGAAAAAAAAAAAAACAAAAAAAAAATAAAAGGTAGGTACTGTCAGGTATTACAGGAGAGGTATAGTTACACAAACTCATAAGATAGAAAGGTTATATACAGTTTAGAGAAGTGATAAGATAGTGCACCAAGTTAATAATGGTATCTGAAGGGAGTTCAGAGTAAGAGCTTGACTTGTCTTACCTTGATCATCTAGCTTACTAGTTCTTATACTATGTATTTTTTTGATGACA